TTTGCAGAATGATCCTGAACTGGAAGGAGAAGGATTAACTGATGCTCTTGACATTAAGATGCAGGTCTGAGATTCAGCACACGTGGCTTCAGCTCCTTTCTCTGCCTCTGCCTGCCTGCACGACCACAGGCGTATCACTTAACCTCACCATAGCTCAGCTCTGTAGCCATGAACACACAGTAAAAATGCTTCTTCGGCTGCAAGATCAATTCACATTGTGCTTACAGAGCGGGTAACCTGGTTCCATAATACACGGAGGGATGCAGTTTGACATTTCAGAAGAGATAAACCACACTAAAGAGCTTACATTACAAGGGCTCAACCCTGGCAGACAGCGAGTACCCTCTTTCCACTAAACCTGCCTCCTGCAGTCAGCGGCTCCCTCAGCCCTTCAGAGGCACGTTACCCCCACCACCCAATGCCACATCAGCGCAATTTGCTTAATCGCTAGTGACAGTTCCATCCTAGGTACAGGATGAGGTCCGAGCACTAAAGCAGAGCAGAGTATACCAGGTGTCTGAATCCGGCCCTGGAGCTGTTAAACTTGGAGGATAGCTCCTTGCAACAGGCTGAAGGAATCCTCCTGCTGAGCACTCGGAGGCCCGAGGACCGTGTGCCTAACGAGGCTGTATCCCCACTCGTATTTTAGCTTGGCAGGTCTGGTGCTCCTTTCATCTTTTGCTTCAGGTAGCTCTCTTTAATTAATAACATTTCTGTGTCGACACAGGGAACTTTCCACCCAGAATGAATGGCCCTCTCTCATTAGAACCACGACTTGTCATGATGTATTCAAGAGCAGGAGTGTGATTCATTCCCTTGTCTGGGAACGAGGAGTGTTGCTGGGGGGTGGGGGGGGAGAAGAGTCTCTGTAATGAGTGACTGGTATTTGCTGAAGTTGATATGCGACTCTGTCGGCTTGAACTGCCTTGTCAGGACAAGCCTTCAGAAAGGTGATGTTCCTACTCAAGAGGTTTTCCTCATTAAAGAAATTGCATCTTAACAAGAGGGAAGGGGAGGGGCGGCAGGAGAGCTCCTGTCTCCCCGACTCCAGCCCGGTTCACACACAGTAAGTGCTGAAAGCCGGCTGATCCAAGCGCAGCCAGCAGAGGATCAGCGCTCCATTTCTGAGCCCTCTCGCACAAGGGGCTCTCTCCAGCAGCAACCAAATCCCTCCAACAGGGACTCTTCTTCTGATGGTGCACCATACCCATAACAAAGCCTCTGGTGGCATGGCCAAGGACCTTGATTCATGCTGAACCTCCTCCATAAGCCCTTCCCAGATGCCTCGTGTCCTCTTCTGGACACCCAACTCCCTGTGACTCATGCTCCCTGTTGTCAGAGGGAAGCCAGACAAACAGCTCTGTGATCTTCCAAGAAAGCTCCAACATTCAAGAGACGTTCCCAATGTTCTCATTCCCTGAAGATCCCCGAGGCAAGCAGAGGCTTCGCTGGTCCTTTAACAGCTGAGTTTCCATCTTGAATCCTGCAGACCCAGATAGGGCTAGACACCATCAGTAGGGAGCAGTACCTCAACAATTGCTACTCTGATGCATTTCTTTCAGCTAGGAGTGCTACACATATTGCAACTCTTGGCTTTGACGGGACTATTTGCTCACCTTGTCCCCATATCCACCACCGACAGGCTTGTATATTCCTCCTCTTTCCAGCCACTACCCCCCATGCAGCCTGCTCACCCCACTGTGCCTCCCAGTGCCCTGACACCTACCAGTGGCACCTGCTGGAAACACCCACAGTAGGCAGACCTGTCCAGAAGATACTACACCTCACCTCTTCAACAGCACATGCAGACAGAAGCCAAACTAAATGCTCAGGTCATTGCAGGCGAAGCCAGCAACAAGGCTGCATGGTTTCCCACAGAGGACAGGAAATCCAAACCACATGAGATGCTTGCTTCACGGGCAGCTGTGCAGGCAGCTGTCATTACTAAGGAAGCTGAGAAAAGGAGCAGCAGAGTTAGGAACAGACCTGCCCCAAGCTGCCGCTCCCTAAGCCAGGAAGCACTGCACTCACCTCATCGTCCTGAATTCCTCTGGAACCCAGCGGAGTTTCTACCACACAACGCTTCCACCAACACACTCCTCCAAACGTGGACGAGCAGCACCACCTCCCTTCCCACTGCCCCAGTGCCTTCTGTGCCCAGTGTGTGGTCTCCGCACAGTAGCAAAGGGCACCAGCTACACCACAAGTCTTGTAGGGAAGCACGGGGCAATTCCCTGGAATATGTCCTAGACGTTCCACATCTCTGAGGCTCTATCTCCCTGTCTGAGTGGCCTTGTTTCAGCTTTCTGCCTTCCCTCTTTAAAAAGAGATGCTCAGTTCTGCTTTGCTAAACCCTATTTGGCAATGTGTCTAAACACACGCAAACTTAATTAGTTCAGGAGGGAGACTCGGCATTTGTGGTGACGGATAAAAGTAATGGGAAATGAGACAAGTCAGAGCTGGCAGGGAGTCCTCACTCAAGCCTCATTCACTGGCACGGCGCTAATCAGATGTGACGCTACACGCTGCTGCACCCAATCGGCGACGGAGCGGCGTGATGTGCTACTCACCGAGCGGCTGCAGCCAGACTCCCACTATCCATGCGGTTGGAAAGACGAAATGTATTTTCTGCTTTGCCCTGGAGACGCTTCAGGATTGAATTCTGAAGTTAATGGTTTAAAAAAATTTTTTAAAAGGAAGAGGGAGAAATGAACCACTCGCTGCAACCTCATGGCCAGGAGTGGAGTCTTCTTTTCCAGCTGACTAGTGAGGCACAATCCATGTGAGAGACCACTGCAAATGGCGAATTCAGTATCTCTGCTCCAGAACTGCATGTCCTGCTGAGCCAGTTCGCCCCACAACCCCTGACTCACCAGAAATGGGGCTCATCTCTACCTCTATTTGCCCACCGTAGAGCTCTGAAGAAAAAAAAAAAACAAAACAAACCAAAACCCACCAAACCAAAAACATCCAGAAGGTTGCCCACTCCACACAGACACCGAGTTAGGATGTCGTTATCTGGAAACCTTGTTATCCCACTCCGAAAGCAATGGGAAGATGGGCTTTGAGCACAGATAACTCTGTTCCTCACAACCATCACCAAAAGCAGTAAACTGGACTCTTGGAACAGCAGTACAGGAGTAAAGAACTGAGAAAAGAGAACAGATGCGAAACAGAAGTGTAGCACGTCCCTGCAGCTGTCTTGGTGCTGGCCTCTAATAAAAGTTTAAACATTATATATAAAGAAAAACAAGCCTGTCCTGGTTTCAGCTGAGATAGAGTTAATTCTCTTCCTAGTAGCTGGCATAGGGCTGTGTTTTGGATTTAGTATGAGAATAATGTTGATGGCACACTGATGTTTTAGTTGTTGCTAAGTGGTGCTTACCAGTCAAGGACTTTTCAGCTTCCCCTGCTCTGCCAGGGGCACAAGGAGCTGGGAGGGGGCACAGCCAGGACAGCTGACCCCAACTGGCCAAAGGGCTATTCCAGACCATAGGACGTCAAGCTCAGCATATAAACTGGGGCAGTTGGCTGGGGGGCAGCAATCGCTGCTCGGGGACCGCAGGCCATCAGTTGGTGGGTGGTGAGTAGTTGCACCACTTGCTTTTTCCCAGGTTTTCTCTCTCTTTCTCTCTCTTTCCTTTTTCATTAAAATTTATTATTATTTTATTTCAATTATTAAACTGTTCTTATCTCAACCCGTGAGTTTTCTTACTTTTGCTCTTCCAATTCTCTCCCCCATCCCACCATGGGGGGGAGGGTGAGCAAGCGGCTGCATGGTGCTCAGCTGCCAGCTGCAGCTAAACCACGACAAAGCCTCACTCTTAATCTAAACCAGTAACACAGGAATTGGCAATACATACCAGCTCTGGACACAGCCCCAGCAGAGACCCAGATTTTGACTCAAAAGCTTGCATACCACACTCCTGTCTGGAGCATTCCAAATCTCTCATCTCCACTAGCGCTTGTGCTGCTGCTTCAGTCCTCCTATCTCATGTCTTGCTAATCACACCAAGAAGAGGCGAGGAGCTGCCACTCTACAAAGACCACTCTGCAGGGAAGAACTGGTGCTGATTGCTCCCAGGCTGTGTGCAGTTTATTTAGGCTTCCGACTTGAGGAAACCAATGTCACACGGAAAACCAAGTAACACTACTAACGAGTTGTGGATGTCAGTTTAGCACTGGATGTGTCAAGCCCATGCTTTACCAGTGTGATAACAACAGGAGTCTTTACCCAGTGCTCTGAGGAAATAAAAAGCTGAAGCAAGATTACAGGAATCCAAGCAAATTCAGCACAATATGACACTGATCTGCAAACACCTTACAGGTTAGACTAATCTAATTCTCATTTAACTCCGTTGTTTTTTTAAATAACATTTTTAGGTTGGTGGTCTAGCTATTTTCATAATAAAACACGCACACACACTGACACTTGCAGACCCCAGTGCAGGTCCCCACCTGGTACTTTCCAGATACAGTCATCCAGCTGAGGAAGATGACCTTAACAATACGAACACCGATGAAGCGTGCCAGACTTGGCTTGTGTTCTCTTTCCAAAGACTACTCTGTCATTCACATCCAGGTAGCGTGCCAAGATGACAGAGAGAAAGCCTTGCATGCAAAAGTCAGGTAAGGACCATTGCTTGATTTGGGTGTACAGAAACAGAGTTCCATGTATGTGCTCAGAAATATCCATCCCTTTGGAAAGTATATTGGACAAAAGGGAAAACATTGCAAAGTTCCAGTTTAAACCTTTCTTGGGGTTCTGAAAGGATTCAATTGCTATAGGGAATATCCTAGGCAGTGATCTTGCACGATGCCCAGCACCTACCCCTCTTCTTAAACAACCCTCCACTCCCAATTACGCATGGCAAACAACAATTTCCCTAAGAAACAAAGACTAGGGACAGTCAGAGGCTTGGAAGGACAAAGGCACACGTACCACAGGCAAGCATGGAGCAATAAAGCCCAGAAAAATCTCCCTCCCCTTCCATACTCACATCACTTTCAAATCCCAGTCTCCACAGGTCACAAAAATCGACTTGACGCTGGGATCTAAGAGGCCTTCCTTTGCCATCCACTCGTCAACCCTCTGAAAAGAAGGCAAGAAAAGGGGATGAGTTTTGCAGACACAGGCCGAGCCACAACAGTTAAACTCAGATAAGCTGCTTGCAATCAAGAGAGAAGAAAATTGTGATCTTATCCTCCCTCTCCCTCTCTCTCTTCTCTCTTTGCTTGCCATCTCAACAACAGCACGTTTGGACCTTTGAAGATTTCTGATAGGAGACATCAGGCAACCAGAGCAGAGATGATCTTATCAGACACCGCAGCAGCTCTGCTCATGGAGGGATGGAAGTTGTGCAGCGTGAACGGGACAATACAACTGCACTGTTACCTGGCATTCCTCCTCCACTTTTCCTTTCTCTGTACCAATTGGGCTCACTTGTGTCCCCTCCAGTGAGGAGAAAATGCAGGCATCCTGGGACAGCATCCCTCACCTACAGCATTTCTCACGTGCTCCAATTCATACAGCTCCAAAGGAACATGGGAGAGGGGGAGAAATGGAAGTGCTGGGCACACATGGGCAGTAACAAGCAAAACAACGTGTCCCCTTCCTCTCTGGGCTGGGTCTCTTTCCTCCTTACAGTTCTGAGGATGTGCTTGTTCAGGGTACAGTGTGGATTTAAAGTGAATCTGCTACTCCTGATCAACTTCCCATAGCAACAGATGTTCTGGATCCACTTCAGAAATGGGCCACGTTAACCTGGAGGATGCACATCCACCTTAGGGATTAACCAGGAGGAAGTGACCTAGACTAAAACGCCTTCTTATTCCAGCTAGAACTAGCAAATGAGGTGTCCAAAATCTCCCGGTGGCAGGTGACAGACAATCAGCTGCTATCATGCAGCCTCACCAGCA